GGAGTGCAATGGCGCAATCTCGGCTCACCGCAACTTCCGCCTCCTGGGTTCAGGCAATTCTCCTGCCTCAGCCTCCTGAGTAGCTGGGATTACAGGCATGCGCCACCATGCCCAGCTGATTTTTTGTATTTTTAGTAGAGATGGGGTTTCACCATGTTGACCAGGATGGTCTCAATCTCTTGACCTCGTGATCCACCTGCCTCGGCCTCCCAAAGTACTGGGATTAAAGGCGTGAGCCACCGCGCCCGGCCTAGTTTCAACTTTTGAGAAGATCTGCTCAGTTCCAGCTAAACAACGTTTTTCCTGTTAAGGCAGTTCTCCTGACAGGTCACTTGGTATGCTGTTGTCTAGTTGGATCAGATGTGGCCAATGAGGAAAGGATCCAAATGCACACAGAATGTAGCTACCAATACCCAAGTTAATTATCTACAGTTTCCTTAGCACAAATTTATAAGAAAAAAATAGAAGAAGGATGATTGGCATTGCAAATGAATGGCTTAGTTTGTTCTCTACAAGTGGTATATAAGTGTATCATTTATAATTCTTTCTGTTGAAGGAATAGAAAACAACTAAAACTGACTTAGGAAAAGTAATTTATTGGCTTACATACTGAGAAGCCTAGAAGAACAGCTGGCTTTTGGAGTAGCTGAACCAGCCGGGCGTGATTGTTCATGCCTGTAATCCTGGCTCTTTGGGAGGCTGAGTTGGGAGAATCGCTGGAGCCTGGGAAGTCAAGGCTGCAATGAGTCATGATCACACCACTGCACTCCAGCCAGGACCACAAAGCGAGACCCTGTATCAAATAACAACAGCAACAGCAAACCAAAAAACAAACAAAAGGAATAAAAGAATCATTTTCTTAACTGATATTGTAAAAAATCCCTCACCCTATCTGACTTCTGCTTTCCTCTGTGATGATTTCATTCTCATTCCCATCTATTCCAAGCTTAAATTCTCCCGAGTTCAATTTAAGTGAAAAATACAGAGACCCCTCCCCTTCTTTTTAGCATTATTGCTTATAGGATGAAGCAATATAATGCTCCAGAGCATGCACTCAGGAACCACACTGGCTCACTTAATATTTTTGTAGCCTTTGATAGGTTAACTTTTCCAAGTCTTGGTTTCTTCATTTGTATCACAATAGTTTCTTTTCTTTTTTTTTTTTTTAAAGATGGGGTTTCACCATGATGGCCAGGCTGGTCTTCAACTCCTGACCTCAGGTGATCCACCCACCTCGGCCTTCCAAAGTGTTAGGATTACAGGCTTGAGCCACCACGCCCCGCCTATATCACAATCCTTCTTACTTCAGGGGTTTGCTGTGAGGATTAAAGAAGTTGATATTTGTAAAATGCTTTAAATAGTGACTAATCCAAAAAAAGGGGGGAGACACAAAATTACCAGGTTTTGATTAGGTTATAAGTTTACTCCAGTGTCCTAATCGGGTCTGGTTAGATTTGGGACTTCCTATACAAACTACATGGATCTGGGCCGGGCATGGTGGCTCACACCTGTAATCCCAGTACTTTGGGAGGCTGAGGCAGGTGAATCACAAGGTCAGGAGTTTGAGACCAGCCCGGCCAACATGGAGAAACCCCATCTCTACTAAAAATACAAAAATTAGCCAGGTGTGGTGGTGGGGGTCCGTAATCCCAGCTACTCGGGAGGCTGAGGCAGGAGAATCGCTTAAACCCGGGAGGTGGAGGATGCAGTGTGAGCCGAGGTTGCGCCACTGCACTCTAGCCTGGCGCCTGGTGACAGAGTGAGACTCTGTCTCAAAAAAAAAGAAATTTGGAGGTCATGCCGGGCGCGGTGGCTCATGCCTGTAATCCTAGCACTTTGGGAGGCCAAGGTGAGTGGATCACCTGAGGTCAGGAGTTCAAGACCAGCCTGGCCTCTTGGTGAAACCCCATCTTTAAAAAAAAAAAAGAAAGAAAGAAATTTGGAGGGTCATTACTATGAGGCAGGGGGAATGGATACTGCATGAACATAAGCAACAAATTGTCTAAGGGCAAATTGTTGCCTGGGAACTCGCTATTACACAAGCAAACACAAATTCATGTACAATGTTTCCAATAATAAAAAGGGACACAGAGTAATCAGAGAGAATTTCTGTTTATGTCTTTTGTTGTAAATGAGTGATACTTTCTCAATTGAGTTCCCACTAAATTTTGTGTTCTGTTGGTACTCATCATACGGTAATCGTTTTCTTTTTTTCTTTCTTTTTTCTTTTTTTTTGAGACGGAGTCTTCCTCTACTGCCCAGGCTGTAGTGCCGTGGTGCCATCTCGGCTCACTGAAACGTCTGCCTCCGGGCTTCAAGCGATTCTCCTGCCTCATCCTCCTGAGTAGCTGGGATTATAGGCGCCCGCTGCCATGTCCGGCTAATTTTTGTATTTTCAGTAGAGATGAGGTTTCGCCCTGTTGGCCAGGCTGGTCAGGTGATCCACTTCTAACCTCAGTTGATCCATCTACCTAGGCCTCCCAAAATGCTGGGATTACAGGCATAAGCCACCGGGTAATCATTTATTTCACTCAACAAAGCACTTGCTATGTACCAGGACCTGTTTTTGCAGAAAACAGGCAATCCATCACATTCCAGTGGGGTAGAGATGGACAGGCCATAAAATCAATAACAAAAATATATGTTATAATAGATGGTTATGAGTGCTTTAGAGTAAAATTAAGTAGGAGAGGCAGGTAGGAAGTGTGTAGGTATGTTTCAATTTTATACAGGGTGGTCAAGGTTTGTTATCTACTTCGCCTTGTCAACAGTTCCTGCAGGACAAGAACAAATCTCACTTCCATTTGCCTTCACGCTTCCAGCACTTAGCACAGCACCAGGCACTCAGAGGCAGTAACTTTATACTGAATACATTTTATGCCTTCCGAGAAGCAAGCAATTGAGAAACAAAGGTGTATCACTAGATATTGGCTCTAAGGTCCAAAATCTGAATAACCCAATCATTTGCGATTAATTTTATTCATTCCATTAACTTAAGCTAAAATCTTTTAGCACGTTTAGATTACAGACCAAAGTTGTGTTAACTAGTATTACAGGACTTTTCACGTTTTTTCAAACATCTTCTAGCCACCTCTGTGGCCCTACAACTACGCATAAGCTTTTACTTTTCAAAAAGCTTCCACAGCTTTTGCCAATTATTTCTTGATCTCGAGTAGCTACTGTAACAGCACTTGGAGTTTAACACTCAGGTTGCGGATCGGGCCCAGTTATCAGTTCCTCGAACCTCAATGAATCACAAGGCAAGGTTCTACGCCCCGAAAAAACTACGAAAAGTGAGAAATCCTCTAAACACTCCTCGCGCGGTGCCCAGCAGGAATCTTGACCTCAAGATGGCGTCCCGTAGTCGTAACATTCAGTCGGCTCCAATCAAATATGGCAGGGTGGGTCATAATTTACAGTTCGGGCCTTTCTAGTAGTGGTTAGACGCTGCTTCTCTATGGTTATTCCGTCTCGACTTGGTCAGAGCCACCAGCGGAGACGATCTATATACGTTCTTCTCTATGGTTCCGCGCTCCACGCCTCCGGCCGCAGTGCATGCCGGGCAAGAGGAAGACCTCCAGCAGCTCCCCGCGCAGCGCGGCTGTGTTTGCGGCCTGTGCGAGTAGGCGCTTCTGCATTCAGTCTCCTGGGCGAGCACCGCGCGGAAACCTCGAACCAGTGGAGCGCACTCGTAACCTGGATCCCCGAAGGCCGCGAAGGCAGTACCGTTTCCTCAGCGGCGGGTGAGTTTGTGTCTCTGAACGCGTGTGGAAACCGGGAGACCGGGTGATTCGGCTGGTGGAGGAGAAAAAGCCGGGGTGGCTGCGAAAGCGCCAGGGTGGGGTAGAGGTAAGGGGGGGGCGGGTGGGGGAGGGGACGGCACGAGGCTTGGTTTCTCCGCTTCTCTTTAGGCCTTGAAAACCAGTGGGCCCAGCCGGAGCCCGTGGAGGGTAGACCTACGGCTTGAGCTTTCCGTCTTGCATTGTCGCCCACTTTCCCTTTCCCTTCCACGTTCCGCCGCGGAGTGACTCGTCTCTGCACCTTGTGGGCTCCACGTTAGCCACAGAACGATCGATCTGCCCCTGGGGAGCCTTTCCCTGAGCCCCCTTGCCTACCGGAGCCCCACAGTGGATTTTCGGGCCTGGGACACACTCGTCCCAGGCTCTGCTTTGAAGTTAGCCTCCACCCACCCTTTTTAGCGAGGGGCTGGTCACCAACGGATATCTTTCCCTTCCTCTTTGGCCACCTAGAGCCCGCCACCAAGTAAACTGGCCCCACCCCCTTGGAATTGAGCTAATACCTACCTTTTTAGCACTGTCCTGGCTTGCTTAAGGTAGTCTTGAATTTTGCCGTCCTTCTTCGCTCGTTGGAGCATGCGGTAAACTGTATATCGCCATTCATTCTAGGCGATTACTAAGTTCCACATTAAAATGTTACCTTCTCTTTCTTATTTGGGCTTCCATCATGCTTTTAAAATACGTTTTTCCGGAATAGACCTAGGACTATGAAGATTATTTTTAAGTTATGTAATACGGATTTGTATTGCCATGGAAATGCCATTTTGATACTGGGCAGAGTGGAGCCAAGGGAAGGGAAGAGATTGGACTTGTCTTGCACCATACTGCTATATTAGTGGGAAGTACTGTGTATTAGGCCGTTGGCAGCAGTGTATAAACAAATTTCGTATTGTCTTTGGACTTTAATTTTTTTTTATTGCCTTCTCTGCATTAGCATGGACTTTTATTTTTAAGGTTATTTCCAAAAACATTCAGAGGACTTGAAAGGCATTCAGTTGGTCATAAGTTACTCATGATTTCACTAAATCTTATACTATTCTAATTCATTTAACTTAAAGCCTTGGTTTTTCTTTTTTTTTTTTTTTTCCTTTTATTTCAAGCTTTGGTTTTTCTTTCTCTGTAAAACGAATTTATAGGAGTATCCACCTTATAGGCTATTGAGGTTGGGGATTGAGAAAAACGTATGTAAAATCCTTGGTGCAATATCCAGGTAACACATAGTAAGCGTTTAAATCTGTGTTAATTGACATAGTTTGTTATTTAAGAATTTTTAATGAAATGTAAGAGCCCAGTCCTGACTCTTAATAGTTTTAAGAAATGTATTCTGAATAGACTTTGAACAAGATCAAAACTAATCCTGCCGAAGTCTCTTTCTCATTGGTGTGTTATTGCTAGAAAGAGACATTGTGGTAGAGCGAAAACAGCCTTTGCGTTGGATAGTGGGGACCTTGGAGTGTCCACCCACATATTGTGTGCCCTTGAACAAATTAGCTTCTTCATGTGTAAAAATAATACACAACTGGTAAAAAGCACCTGGTAATTTGGGAGATTAAATGGGAAAATGCATGATAAAGACTTTTGTAAACAAAGTAAATTTAACTGTTGGTATAAGTAGTTCATCCTTCGGGGGTAACCAGTTTTCCAGTTTTTGTTGTTTTTGTTTTGTTTTGTTTTTTTGTTTTTTGTTTGCTAAAGTGGGTTCTTTAGGAAATAAAAGGACCCCTTCCTTTCCCTTCTCCTTGTAGGGTACCAAAAGGCTTTTAAGAAGAAACGTTTTTATTGTCCCACTGTCTTATAGGCATCATGTGTTAATGCCTATTTCCACAGGCATTAACTGGTTTGTTTTTGTTTTGTTTTGTTTTGTTGTGGTGGGGAGGGTGCGGAGTCTTCTTCTGACACCCAGGCTTGAGTGCAATGGTAAGATCTCTGCTCACTGCAACCTCCACCTCCCGGGTTCAAGTGATTCTCCTGCCTCAGCCTCCCAAGTAGCTGGGTCTATAGGTGCCTGCCACCACACCCAGCTAATTTTTGTATTTTTAGTAGAGTCGGGGTTTCACCATGTTGTCCAGGCTGGTCTTGTTTCCTGACCTCATGTGATCCGCCCGCCTCGGCCTCCTTAAGTGCTGGGATTACCCTGGTGAGCCACCGCTCACAAATGGCAACTATATGAACTATATTGACATTTCAAATTTACCTGTAATGCACAATTCAGTGATTTTTAGTAAATATACAAAGTTGTGCATCCATTACCCCAAGTTTTTTTTTTTTTTTTTTTAAATTTTTTGCATCAGAATTTAGCTCTTACTGCCCAGGCTGGAGTGCAATAGCGGGATCTTGGCTCATCGCAACCTCTGCCTCCCAGGTTCAAGCAATTCTCCTGCCTCACCTTCCCGAGTAGCTGGGATTACAGGCAGGTGCCACCATGCCCGGCTAACCAAATTTTGTGTATTATCATATAATATATTTTTTCTTTATAGATAGTAGTAGTGCTCCTTTTTTGTTTCATTTTGAGATGGGGTCTGTTTCACCCAGGTTCAAGTGCAGTGCTGTGATCTCAGATCATTGCTACATCTGCATCCCAGGCTTAGGTAATCTTCCTATTCCAGCCTCCCAAGTAGCTGGCACCACAGGCTTATGCCACCATGCCTGGGTAGTTTTTTGTATTTTTGGTAAAGACGGGGTTTCACCATGTTTTCCAGGCTTGTCTGGAACTCAAGCACAAGGGATCCGCCTGCCTCAGCCTCTCAGTGTGCTGGGATTACAGGTATGAGCCACGGTGCCCAGCCCCGGCCTTTTTTTTTTTTTTTTTTTTTTAAAGATAGATTCTTCCTGTGTTGCCTAGGCTGGAATGCAGTGGCTGTTCACAGGGTAATCCCACTACTACTGATCAGTTTGGGAGTTTTGCCCTTCTCTGTTGGGAACCTCATGGTTCCCCCTCATCCCAGGAGGTTACCATATTGATGCTGAATGAACTTAGCATGAACACTCGATTAGCATAGTGCTGCAGCCCAGAACTCCTGGGCTCATTCATTCTCCTGGGTAGCTGTATTTATGGGCAGGCACAGTAATGTTGCCGTTTAATCACTGAAAATGGTAAAACAACAAAATGGCAATGTCAGAAAAAGATTAGCTCCTTTTTGGAGATTTTAAAACAGTTGAGTATTTTCATATTTCTGAAAAGCTTTGTTGTAAAAGTAGTTTTTCTGTTAAGCATTTCCCATTCTTCTTTAGGCATAAAACACTTTTTTCTAGGAATAATTCCTGTAGACCTGGCACATAATTGGAAGTAGATGTTGAATGAATGAGTGAATTGTATGTAAATATTTGCGGAGGGGAATCTGTCAGTTCATTCTTATCATTTCAGAAATTTGGCACATACTGTACTGATGGAGCTAGTCTAAAATAATCTATCCTGGGAGAAATACTTTGTTTCTGTTTGGATAAGTCTACAATAGAGGAATGCTTTTAAGCAGTATTTTGCTATATTTTGCATACTTGTAGTATTCTCAAGAGTGCAGAAAAAAGAATGGTTTGAAAGAGTAAAGAGAAAAAAAGAAAAGCAGAGTGCATGCATGTGGAGATAGGTCTTCAGGGTTTTTTTTTTTTTTTTTTTTTTTACCCCCAGTCCATGCCCCCAGAGTTTCTTTTTGGACCAAATTTCTTGAGATAAAATTTGCACGCAATTAATTGCATTGGGTTTTGACAAAAGCATGTACCTGTGTGACCACCGCCACACTTGAGATAGCAAACGCTTCCATCATAGATTCCTGTACGCTACCACACCTGGCTAATTTTTTGTATTTTTGGTAGAGATGGGATTTTACCATGTTGCCCAGGCTAGTCTGGAACTCCTGAGCTCAAGTGATCCTCCTGCCTTGGCCTCCCAAAGTGCTGGGATTCAGGCATGAGCCACTGTACCTGGCCCAGGTTCCTGTTTTTATTATCCTGGGCTATAAAGTTTCATACTTAGCAGGAAAAGGTGCTTCTGAAAATGATGAGGTACTTTAAATATTTTTTAAAATGCTATGGAAATAATTTCAGTGCTAATAACTCTGCATCTCTCTGTCTTAAATCACACATACTGTACAATCCCTCAGCAAATCCTGTGGGCTGCCTTCAAAATATATCCAGGATCCAACAACTTAATAGCACTATTACCACTACCGCATGTTCCAGGCTGCCATCTCTTATATTATTATTGTGCTAGTCTTGCTTCTATCCCGTTCCCTTCCAGTACTAACACAGTGGCCAGTGATACTGTGAAAATGTGACAAGTCAGAAACTCTTTAAATATTTTTTTATCTCATTCAGAGTTAAAATGTTTACAATGTGCTACATAGCCCTACACTCTACAAGTAATACTCAGTATTTATCTCTGACTTTCATTTATTCTGCTCCAGTCATTATATTGGCCTTGTTGTTAATCCTCCCTCAAACACACCATTCCTACCTCAACCTCCTTGTCTTTTCCTTTGCTTGGAAGTCTCTTTCCCCCAGATATGAATAGGGCTTCCTGCCTCTGCCTCTTTTAAATCTTTGTTCTAATCTTCACCTTCTTGTTAAGGCCTAATCTCTGTATTTAAAATAAACTACACTATAGCTCTCTTACCTGCTTTATTTTTCTACAAAGTACATACCAGCTTTCAATCTTATAATTTATTTTGTTTATCATCTATAGGTAACCATAGGTAAGCTTTGTTTATGATATAAAAATTAATTCTCAATCAGTTTCACATGGCAAAACATATAAACTTGTGTTGAAGGAAGTAGTTGGTAATCTCATTTTAGGCTGGTTAAAGTGAACGTTTGTATTTATCAAAGATCACCAGAAATGTTTTCTGAATTTCCATGAGACGCCAATTATCTTAAAGGAATAAAAGAATATCTATAAAAATTAGCTATTAACCGGTATTTTTGCCTTTACCTTTGAAGTCCATCCTATGAAC